TTAAATGGCATGGTTGAACTTCAGGCACCAATTTTCAATTGGATATGTGTGCCAAAAATGAATAATGCAAGTCAGTTTGCTACTCTTACTTTCTTTAGGTCACATACAATGTTTTTACCCCCCCCCCCCCCTTGCAAAGCCAAACGTAGAATTGGAAGTCTCATTACAATAAAATTGTAAAAGAAATATTAGTGCCCTCTGGCTGTGCAGCATAGCAAGATAAGCAAGAGAAATTGGTACCCAATGAAGTCCAGAAAGGCAGGACAATATGCGTGACAAACTACATTAAGGGTGCAAAGCAGGCTATGAACCTATGTCAAATGTCATTATAGCCAACCTGAATGATGCTTTAAACTCTCTACTGCACGATGCGCATTTTTCTGTCTGTAGGAAGATTTGAGACAAGTCAGGGAGATGATTTTTCCAGGGATCTCAAAGTAATAATTATCAGGGCTGGTCCTTTTGCAGACCTTTCACAGGCTCACGTGGTTCAAAGCTTCATACTTTTCTATGGGGAAAATATGCTGGTGCTAAAGTGCTAATAATGAGAGCCTGTTCACATGCTAATCAAATACAATTTTACAAACCTGAAATGAATCTTCCAAGTAAGGCAGAGATTATGGGCAAGGGAATTCTTTTCTAGCTCTGATGATAAATCTCTTTAAATCAAAGGTTTAAGTAACTTTGGGGAAAAATTTTAAAAAGTGCAAGATATAAGGTTTCCAATCGCTAATCCATGTGAGAGCCCCATCCAACCAGGCTGAACTTCATTAATTGGATCTGTGAGTGCATGAAGCAAATAACTTTAATGTGTGAAAAAAAGTTCAAGCTATTTTAATATTTTTTCATGATTTCCTTCTTCCTCTCTCCTTTCCAATCAACAATATTTATTAAATCAACAGAAATGCTCATCTTACTTAAAGGAGGTTTAAAGGAGGTCAATAGTTGTTCCCATGCATGACTGCTGGGTACTTCAACCAAGACAGTGTATTATTAATCTCCCTTATTCAAATCTGTTAAAAGCAATTTGTATAATGTTTGTTTGCTATTCAGCTGAATCTGTATTTCTGGTTAAACTTTAGGTGGATTGAATGCTATGAAAATAAATGTATCACACAGAATAAATTCTTCAACTTTTGCTGCAATTAACAAGCTTGGCTCAGGTCTCAAGAAAAAAGGGAAAAAAAAGAAAGGAAAACCAGGAAAGGTACTCAACTGACTGTCAACAAAGTTATTGTAAGATGGATTTTAGTGTTGTTGTTTTTGTTTATTTGTTTGTTTTTCATTATTTTAAGAGATCAAACGGGGTGCTTAATAAAACTGTGATGGTGCAACAATACTACTTGCAGTTTGTGTTTTGTTGTTGTAGGCTTTGAGAGTAGTTATTATTTAATTCAATTTGTCCTGCTGTTTTCTGGCCTTATACTCACCTATTTGCTGTTTCTCCATTTGTTCTTTCCAGAAACGAATTTAGAGTGAAGAAGTGCTTCTTGGGAATCAGTTGAGTGATGTTAATGAAGAATGCCAAGTTAATACTTGTGAAGTCTTAATAATGTTGTGTGAATAGGAACAACTTGTAAATTGATGTCACTTACTGACAAATTTTTCAATAAATTTTTAACTACTTTTCAGGTTCTGTTTATTGCAGAAAAAAGCGAAAGATTATACCTGGAGATAAGAATTAAAATAATTGAAATTTCTAGAGAGTTTTGGCAAACAAACCAAGAACTAATATTGTACCATATAGGGATGAGCAGTTCTACGTGGTAATTTGCATCATGCTTGAAATTTGCTCTAAAAGATTACTATACTTGTCCAAAGGTACTTTACAAATCTACCAATAGACTGTTAAATAATTCATCTGGATTCCCTAAGGCCACCAAGTTGTTGGCTTCAGCACTCCACTGACCATTAAGTTACATTTTAAGGAGAGTGTTAAAAACATTGTATTTGGGAGGGGGTTCTATTGACATGGAAACACTTGCTTGCTAGATTCTTTGCAAGGCTCACCCTCAAGTTACCCTGTCCAATGAAATTGTAGGGAGCTTAACGTCAAGGTTAGAACTGCGCATCTAGCCCAGTCAATGAGCTATTCGTGGGTTGGTAGCAAACAGCTCTCTTCCTAAAGCTCAAGGGTGGGGAGGGTAGTTTTTGGACCCCTAGAATTGGCCCTTAGGCTGGAAGGAGTTTTTTACTCATCCCGGTGGCGTCCTGTTTTGCCGGATTGGTACTCAGGAGGGTGGTTGAGGGTCAAAAGCATTGGTGTGAGGAGGGGGCTCAATTGACATTGCAAACATCTTGTTAGTTTTTTAGTTGAAAGCCACTATCTCCTGCCTAGCTGCCTGAAATGCAGGGCTAGCATCTTAGTGGAGCTTATGGACAAGTCTACTTTAGGGTGGGCTGCCGAATGCCTGTCTTTAAAGCTTTATGGCAGAGACTGTATCCGTTAGTCTGGTCAGTCAACTTTGGTTTGCTTCTCACTCTACAGAGGCTCCTAGGGAGAGGCCACTCTTACTTCTTAAGACATTTTTACAAGAAATTAAAAGGTATATTTATTCAATATATATTTTCAAATTGCAACTTTTATGAAAACGGGTATATATCTATCACACATATACCTGTTTTCAAGAACGTCGCAAATTTGAAAATATATACTAAACATATATACCTTTTGTCTTCTCATCAAAACCAGTCACTTTGACGAGGAAAGGAAATACGTTTTTAATATATATTTTCAAACTGGCAACGTTTTTGGAAAACAGGTGTGCGTAATGATATATATCTTTTTAATAAAGGGGTAAGTTTCCAAAGAAACTGTGGTGCTGCGGCGGTGGCCACCGTAACGGATTTCAAAGCTGGTTAAAATGTTCTAATTGGTTAAACTGATTTATATGGAACTAGATAAAATGGTTTAACCGGTAAAAATGTTCCAGCTAGAATGGTCCAAGTAGATAAATTGGTTCATAGGTAGATAAAATGGTTCAACCAATTAAAAATGTCTTAACTGGATAAAGTGGTCTAGGTGTTAGAAGTGGTCTAACTAGAGAAATTGGTCCAATGCTTAAAATCATTTAACAGGTTAAAATGATCAAACTGGTTACAGTGGTCTGTCCACTTAAAAAGGTCTTAATGAAATAGTGAAGGTGCTTAAAATTATCCAACTGGTCAAATTTTGTTACATCATTAAATGGTGCAACTGGTACTAAATGGTGTAACTGGAGAAAATGGTCCAACTGTGAGATTGGGAACAACTAAAGAAATTCGTCCAACTGGCTGAAAATAACCGATTTGTTTAAATAGGCAAACTACATGCATTGTTCTACCGGTTAAAATACGACTTTCTAGATAACGTGGTCCAACCACTTGGAATGGTCCAGGTGCATATAATGATCCCACTGCTTCAAATGGTCTAGCTAGATGAAACGGTCCAATTTGTGATAGAGGGATTACTACTTAAGAACGTCTATTTTTCAAGACTGCGTAAGAGGGGACACTTTGACCGAAAAATGACCATCCTCTTATTTTGGTCAGAGATACCTTGTAGCGAACTTAGAAACATGGTAAAGTTTTTTAGACCAGACTTGCTTCCTTATTCTAGAAAATTCACGAAAACTGAAACGAGTGTCGATAGCCCAAAAATTGCGGAAAACAGTGCCCCGAGTGGAGGAAATTAACTTTTCAAGAAAAGCGCAAAAGGAAGGGCTCGTATCAATTCAGTGACTTTGTACCGGAGGGACTGAGGTATGATTGAAGTCTAAACCGGGACCATTTCATTTAATTAGGAGCTCAAGACACACTCCTGAATATCGCCAATATTTCAAAATTCAACTACCACATTTCGCAGCAACTTTCCAATTAACATTTTCCCCATGCGGTGTGGAAATAGTGTTGTTTTCGAGGATATAAAAATTAGCTTGCTTTCCCTGCGGGTTTTTCAAGCAAACTGGGCGCACGGCAAGCTTTGGCACCGGAAACTGCGCTACTTTTATCTGGCACCCAGGGTCGAGGTATCGACCTTATTACTTAATACTAAATACTCCTTTCATTTTCGACTCTTCCGAACTTTCTGGCACTTCTGATTTGCGATTGACCAAAATCAAAAATAAATATTCATTTTCCATAAATCATAATGAGAGCATCAAAAAGTAATATTTTGCTGATGGCTGTGAAAGCATAGTTGTAGTTAGAAGCCAGGCGGAAGCCAGGAACTGTCAAAACTGCACCAGTCACTCAAAGCACGTGGGGGGACACAAGCCGCACTGCGATAATTGTTTCAGCGAGAAGATGGTCCGCAATTTATGTTCCACATCTGGTTATACTGACTGGTACCCACTCCTTCGCCCTTGTAGTCAGTGTCTGAGAGAAAACATAGTATGCACAAGAGTTCTGCCATTAGTTTGGTCCACTGACTCTGATCCGAAACAGAAGACCTTTATGAATACTATGCTTGCAGATAGAGAGAAGTATCCTCACCGAGTCTCTATTCCCGATTGCCCCACAACATCAAGTCTACGTTCCGCTGAATTCTGGCATTGAATCGACATTGACGGTTATCTCGTAAACGTAAGGCTTCTCTTGTTATTGCGCAGAGAAGATGAGGGCATAAAGAAATGCTTTTCCCTGAAAGCACTTCGAATTCTAGACCGCATGGATGTCGAGACAGAGAGAGAGACAGAGAGAAAGTGAGCACTACATTAGTGCCCGAACTAGAATTCAAGCGCTGGAAGAAGAATGGGCTATCTCTTTTAAGCTACGTGGCAGGATTGACATTCTCCCCAAAACACAGCAGGCTTTTTATAACTGATCGACTTCTTCACGCAGTTTTCATCATTGACATGCACTGCCCTGCGAATGTCACTTTTATCACCGGTGGTGGTGAGCTGGGGCACACTAATGGACGTGGAAGCAAGGCCAGATTTAAGAACCCTGCTGGCGTGGCGGTGAGGGAGGAGGAGCTTTACGTTTGCGATCAAGTGAATGGTACCATTAGAGCGGTAAATATGAGATCGCTTTTCTTCCATGCTTCCATGATTGGCCAAGAAGATCCAGACGCCGAGGAAAGCCAAAGTGAGGAAGAGGGTTTCGCCATGAGACGAATTCACAAAGAGTCTGTGCACATTCTTTCCCTTATTCCAGAAGAAAATGTACCTAATTTGGTATCGCCATTTGCTATATGTGCAGCCACAAAGGATAACTTTGAACTTTATGTATCAGATCTCTGCCTTAACAAGGTTTTCAAGATTACCAATGTTATGCAGGAAGCTCTACTCCATTAATTTCGTTAGCCTTACTTGAACTCGCGACGAGCAGCACTTATTAGTAGGAGACAGAAATGGGTCAAATGTTCATGTATGTCAAGTACGCGGAGGATTGAAGACTAAAACAATTTCAAATATTCCCGGCCCAACAGAAATTGCAGTTACAGAAAGTGGAACAGTGTTTGTATCTTCTAGCAAAGAACGCTCACTCTTTAGCTTGAAGGAAGGAGACTTATTTCAAGGAACTGAGAACATACATAAAGTCAGTGGAGGTAGCGTAGGCCACTGCGATGGTATCAAAAGCCGGCAGAATATGCCAGCATCTCTGTTCGCCTACAGACAGGATGCCAACGATCAAAAAATGCATGACCAGTCGACCTCATCGCCTGAAGAAGACAAGCAGTATGCAGTCGAAACGTCGCAATCTACATCACACGTGACTACATCATGAGACAAACGAAAAACTTAGCTTTTATTGTTATTCACCACGATGAATAACCACAACCTTTTCTAAGAAATTAACCGGATATATGGGCGCACAGCCCTAAGGTTGATTCGTCGACATGAGCGTTGCTCGAGCAAGCTCGCACGCTACACCAACCATCTCACCTTCCTAACAAGGTGCATCAAGAACCGCGTTGTTCCTAAAGATCTACGAGTTCGACCGCCAGTTCCCACCAAAGGCGCACGCAGAGTCGCTGAACGCGCATCCATGAGATTCCTAAGGGAACGGATCAGACTGACACAGAAGGCCAAGGGAGATGCAAAGAAGGATACAGAATCCACAGCACAGAGTATAACATCCGTTCTCCCGACAAACGACGCCAACAGGATACTAGAGTAGATTAAGACCAATACTCAACGAGTCTTCAACACCACCAAAGACAGACATAAGCAGAAGTTTGAAAAACTCATTCGAGAAAAACAGGCGACCGTGTCACCGGTTGACACACCGTATGTTGACAAAGCTAACTGGGTTGTTAATTTATCTTCTAGGTTCCTTAGCGATGCCGAGAAAGCCCTACTGAAGAAAAGACTGAACTTCGCCGTAACTCCTGCGAATATTCCTGCCACAGAGATCATCGCCAAGGTAGAAGCAGCCGTAAGACAACTCGACACTGAACAAGCGGATACTGTCAGAAGAGTTGTTAACGGTATCCTTATTGCTAACCTCTACATGGAGAGTTTCGAAGAACAGGCGATAACTACATCATCCTACGAGCCTAGGATCTGGAAACGCCACGTGGACGATACCTTTACCATCCTGGATCGCGAAAACGTAGATGACTTCTTACAGCATTTAAGCAACCAGCAGCCTTCCATCCGATTCACCAAGGAGACAGAGAAAGACAACAAACTCGCCTTCTTAGACACCGAAGTTTTAAGAAAACCTGACGGCCGCCTCACCACCAGCGTATACAGGAAGCCCACGCACACCGATCAATACTTAGCGTATGATTCACACCACCCTCAATTAGTAAAACGCAGTATTGTTAAGTGCCTTTACGAGCGCGCCAAACGTCTCGTAACAAAACCCTCCGTCATCTCCCAAGAGAATAAAACATCTGTCATCTGTTCTGGTCTCTAACGGTTATCCGTTTTCTTTCTTGCAGAAACTTACCAAGACCGGAAAACCAAACAACAGTGCCGAACCCCCCACGAGTTTAAAGCTACGGCGGTTTTACCTTATGTCAAAGTCTATCGGAACAGCTTCGCCGTTGCCTACAACAACAAGGCGTACGCGCTGTTTTCAAGTTGGAGACTACGCTAAGATCTCAGTTAGTACGACCAAAAGACGCTATCGACCCGGCTAAACAAGATGGCGTAGTTTTCAGGATTCCCTGTGAATGTGGCAAGGTATACATCGGAGAGACTGTAAGACCTATGCATGACAGAATTAAGGAGCACGATCGAGACGTTCGACTTGCCCGTACCGAGACCTCCGCCGTTTCAGAGCTTGCCCACAACACCGGACACAAGCCACTCTGGAACGAAGTAAAGTTTATTGATCGTGACCCTTATTACTACACACACGCAGGGTCAAAGAGGCAATTCATATAAGACTTCACCCTAACAGAATCAACAGGGATAATGGAATAGAAATTCCAGAAGCGTGGATGCCCACGATCAAAAAAAAAAAAGACCACAACAGGGGAGCCGTGCGACAGCGGACCGCCGAGGGAGCAAATCACTAAGTGATCAGCAAGGATCGAAATGCACCAATCAGAGCTGTTGAAAACAA